TTTTCTCTTTTTTTTTTATAATATTTCGGCCAATCATCAGTCGTCCGTCCTTGCTTAGAACCACTATCTCTTGATTGATCTATTTTTTTTCTACTTTGCAGCTCGGTTTATAAGTTCACTGGAGGTGTCATTTTCCTCTTTTCCTATTATCTTACCCCTATTTTTATTTTTCTTCTTCTTTTTTTCATTTCCTTTTTTTTCAATTATTTTCCTCTCATTTTCTTTCTCGTTGTCCTTATCCAAACTACGAATCCTGCAAAAACCAGAAACTTCTCTTGAAAAAGATATTCACAAACGTTAGATTCATGTATCGTGTTTTACAATTTGTTTGAATGGTTGTTACGTATCGTTTTATAATGTATAGTATCGTACTGTATTATATTGTTTTGTATCGTTTGATAAATATAATGTTTGGATAGATTATGTCGTTTGCCATCGTTTCATGATATCACGCACCAACAATATGAAGAACAAACTTGCAATATTATAAAGAACAATTATGATACATGGTAAAATTATTATATAAAAAGGTAGGGTAAATAATAAAATAAAATTATTTAATAATAATGAAGGGTGAGATTTAGAGAAAAAGACAAGGTAACGACGTACCACACCAAATCGGTCGTTACATAAAGTGACACATTTCGTCGTTATGTAACGACGGATTTAACGATACGATACAATAAAATTTAAGTAACAATCAAAACAAAGATTATATTTAAAGTAACAATACGATACAATACAATGGGTAACAACCATCCAAACAAGCTGTTAGTGTATTGTCTTTTCTCTTCCCTCTTTGGACGAAATATTCTTTCTGTTGGATAGAAAGTGAAAGAATCTAATGAATTACTGCATTTGGTAAATGAAAAGGTTAAAAAAAATTGAAAAAAAAGGAAAGGAAAGTAAATAAAAATCTAAACTGAGAAAACTGGTTGCATGGTAAGTTTGGTATGGTATACAAATTTAGAAAAATGACTTTCAGTTAAGAAAATTGGTTGCATAGTAAGTTTGGTGGGGTACAAGTTTAGAAAAGTAACTTTCTTTCTTTATTTATTTTCATAAGAAAAAGCTGATAACCTAAATTATAAGCTGATAAACCAAATGGAACACATTTCATTTGGGGGGAAAAAAGAAACTTACTTGCACCAGAAGTTGGGTAAAGTGCTGCAATAGCCACCTTTAAACCAATTATTTAAAATATATCCACAATTTACAATGTATTTAAAGATTAACCAATTCACTCAAATTTCAAGACTAACTGTCCTGAATTTGGATCAGGACTTAGTGTCTAGAATTTTTGAGCTGCTAATTTGAAATTCAGGACTAAGTATCTTGAATTTTTCAACTACTAATTTAAAATTCAGGACATAAAATTTGACTTTCTGGACACAATTTTCGAACTTTAGGACACAATATCCTGAAGTTTGAATTTTAAGATTTAAACTCTAGGACTTCAGGACTAAGTATCCTGAATTTGGAACTTCAGGATTTAGTGTCCTGAATTTTTGAGTTGCTAATTTGAAATTCAGGACTAAGTATCCTGAATTTTTGAACTACTAATTTAAAATTCAGGACATAAGATTCGAAATTCAGGACACAATGCCTTAGAAGTTTCAATTTTGACGTTTAAACTCTAGGACGTCGTGTCGTGAAGTTTGAGCGAAATTTGCTAATCTGTAAATACATTGTAAATTATGGATATATTTTAAACAACATACTTAAAATTGGCTACTAGAAGTTTGTTACAAAAACCAATTATCGCAAGGTATTTGTCTTTCATACGCATGTTTATCATTTAACCATGGCCAAGTAATGTATTCTCACTTTAAACTGTAACTGCTAAGATAAATTGGTTGATTTGGTGTAAACGCCGAATATGAGTAAATCTCGTAACATTTCACACAACAACTGACAATAGTTGTGTGAGACCTCTTTTTTGTCTCACAATTGTGTGGTCCCAGAATTTTGTGGACCCAGAGGTGTAAGATATGGGTCCACAAATATGTGAGATAAAAAGAGCCCTCACACAACTAATGTAAGTTGCGTAAGACACAAAATAAAATTACTCGAGAAAAAGGGAGTGAGGTGAGTAGGAAATAATGGAGACAATAATCAAAGCAGCAACTACACTATTTTCACCAAATGCTGATCAATCAGCTGTACATTAACTGGCATATATTGTTAGTATGTAGCACTGAAGATTTTGCTAAGCCTTAAACAATACCAGAATGTTGATGATTGATAGCAGCAGATACTAATACTTAGGTCAGTAGCAACATAATTACAGGAGGAAGATGCCTTATTCTTCTCTATCCGATTCTTCCTTCGATTCAAGACGAATATGTGGACACACCCTTTCTGGTTCACCCTTTGTCCAAAGAATTTTCAGATCACCTCTCTTCGTCCCCAGTATCAAAAAGGTCCCTACACAAAAGGTATATATCAGTCGACTGTGAAAGTTGGAAGTTCCTCCTTCGTGAAGAATCTTCAGAGTGTGTTTACGTGACACCCTAGGCAAATCCCACATCGACAAAATACGGGAGAGATGCCGGATATATAAGTAAACATGTGTTAGACCCTAGTGACGTGTTTTAAAGTCGTGCGGACAATATCACTGGTGGACTGGATTGCTACATATGGTATCGTAATTCAGAGCCACTCCACTCCGTGTGCTACCTTGAACGATGGTGGGGCAAATCCGAGTGAGGAGGTTAAGTCCCTAAGGGGGGTTGTATGTGACACCCTAGGCAAATTCCTCATTGACAAAACATGGAAGAGATGTTGGGTATATAAGTAAACATGTCTTAGACTCTAGTGACGCATTTTATAGTCGTGCGGGCCTACGCTTAAAGCGGACAATATGACTGGTGGACTGGGATGTTACAGTTTGGTACCAAGAAAACGTTTTGCATGAGGAAGTCATTTTATGATGTTCGGTTACCAGATAATGTTTCTTTCACTCGCTTATAAAGCGAGGTCGTTTTCCTTGCAACTGAAAGTATTTGATGAGAATTACCGAGGGTAAACGGGACGATGTAAAGAAGTGCAGGTTGGCCATGACCATCCATTAAGTTCAATGCTACATATGTAATAAGAAGACCTGCAATGTGTTCCAGAAAGGTTGTGTCAAATGGCAAAACAGAAAATTTCCAACCTAAGCTATAGGCTCATTCTAAAGTAGATGTCATTAACTACCTAATCCATATGCAATCATCGCCCACAAGAAGTAACCAGCTCGGAGATTCTTCTTAGCAAGCCAATCATACCTGCAAACAAACAATTAGTGTCGATGAATTTTATAAAAAAAAAAAAAAAAAAAAATTGGAATCACCATCGAAACAACAACACAACCCAGTAGAATCTCACTAGTGGGGTCTGGGAGGGTAGAGTGTACACAGACCTTACATTGTGGTGTGAGCAGGGTGAGAGTGGGATTTGATAAGTTTTGCATGACGTCAATGACATAACAGACTGAAAACTAAATTAAGAAAGAATAAAGCTGTATCTCATTTCTAGTGGCCGTTCTAGCTCCGCGCCAACTCTCTAAATGCAAGATCATATTCCTCCAATAATTTGCTTTCCCAAGAAAACCATATAGATACAGGGTTAATTTCCATTCGACTCGAGAGTAATTAAAAATCCATATAACAGAAAATGCAAATATACAAGTAATGGATCAAAATCTAAGTCTTGCATGGTTTTCTTTCCAAAAGATAAAAAGTTAAAATCGATAGTTGCAGATATCAAACCTAAGTGAAAATGCTACTAGCAGGCCAGGCAATAGGATGTCGCCAAAGCCAATAATACTGTAACCACCCCATGGATCAAATAGTCGTGGGATCTTCAGCAGCATTGGAATGCCATCCTCTCCGCTTTTATCACCACGAGCTACCTTTAAAGATATGGAAAATTCAAATTACTGACTTATATCTAGAGCAACTGGCATTAGCATCAAAGTGAAATTAAGCGATTACCTACCACAATCATCACACTTTCATGGAAGAGCCTCTGGGAAGCAAACACCCAAAATATGTCGTAGATGAAGGCACAACCCAAAAGAACTGTACCGACCTGATATGTAATGCTAGTTAATATTTACAAGAGATGATAAAACCATTAAAAAAATGTATTGTAAAAGAGAAGCTAAGTGACACTAGAATGGCATTAAAGCAATAATATGCACTCGGGGATTCAATTGGTGTAAATTGCTGTCTTTTTGCAGTTGAAGGAGAAGAGACAACAGATAATTCGTTATCAATATTTCTTAATGAAAATAAAATGGAAAAGAAAAGGCTCTTCTTTTCTATGCTGCCACCTCCCATAATCAGCAATACGGAAATGTGAAAACATTAGCATTTCCATCTTTTTGTAAAGTTAATTCATCTAGCATTTCCTCTTGAGAACCATGTAAAGTTAGAACGGAGATGCTAATTGCTGCAGATCTAAGTTACTATCATTTGCTCTCCCGCACCCCCCAACCCCATGGAGCTGGAGGAGGAGAGACAATAATAAAGAACAATAACAACAACATACTCAGTGTGATCCCAGAAGTGGGGTTGGGGAGAGAGGGGGGATAGGATGTACGCAAACCTTATACCTACCTTGTGTGAGGTAGAGAAGTTGTTTCCAATAGACTCTCGGCTCAATAAAAGCGTTATCAAAATAGTTTGAAAAATACAAGAGAAAAAAGCTAAGGATGAAAACTGAAGAAAATAAAAGTATTAACAGCAAAATAGTAAAGATAACCAACGTAAAAGAAACAACAATCGAATTTTTCATGCTGCCACCTCAGAAGGAAAGGAAAATGTTGTTCTCTTCCGTGCTGCCACTTTAATCAGCAATATGGACAACATTAGCATGTCCATCTTTTGGTGGTTTAATTGAAAAGGTCAAAGGGCACAAAGTAAAAAAGTGTTGAAAATAATATAGGTGGATACGAAAAACTAGAATAGACAAGGTCGGTTTGACATCTTAGCAATTATAGCCGACAGTGGCTGATGTCAGTCAAAGACAGCATCTAAGATAGTAAACATCTGCAGCAGTGACAATCTCTCAAAAAGATTTTGTAGATTATATAAGCAAACTTGGCCACCACTTCTAGCAGCAATCCTCAAAACGCGGGTATAAAACAAACATCTTGTTAATATAGTAACAATGTGCATACTCTTTGTAACACTAGACAGAAATATACAACATGATAGGAAACCAAGTAAAAAAGAAATCACCAACTGAAAACATGACATGCCTATAAAGTATGCAAGATGAGATTAATTGGACATTCATACAAGCAAATACAGCTCCTTCCATTTAATTTTTGCAGGGTAAAATTGTTTACCTTGAGATTAGGTATCCGTACAATTTGCAGAACTGTAATTATTAGTGTGATACCCTATCCAAAAGAAAAAGAGTAAGATCATCAGTTGATATACCTGAAACAGTACAATAAACTTACCCTACACATGTAACAGCTATCGAAAGCCGCATACACAGACGTGGTACTCTATGATGAGATGGAAACAAAAGAGAAACCTCAGAGTGCAGCTTCAATAATATGGCACAAAAGGGGTTTTTCTTTTTTTTTTGGGAGGGGGTTTGTT